AGGTATCTTTTGAATCAGATATTCATTGAAGAAATCTAGTAGAACAGAAGAAACAAATACAGGCTGTCTAGAAGGTTCTGAAACCCTGGTGCTAGGCCTCATCTGCCTCAGGCTAGGAGGTTTTTGATTTAGAATCTCAGCAACTGCCTACTCTACCTAGTTAAGGCCTTGTTTATATTTTGTTTGCCTTTCTCCATGTAGAATTAATCTGTAAAACCGTGGGACTGCTAAGGGAGCTAAGAGAAGATCTGGACATGTTGACAGAATTGATCAAGGCAGCCTGATGCTGGACCAGGTTCAGAATCTGGAGAGACCAAACAGAGTGGCCTCAGACAGAGACTAAAACGCTTTGAGGCCTGGACACCCTTCCTACCTGGGCTCACTCCCACAGGGTCCAAGGGCAGAATGTGAATACTGGAACACCATCCTCACCTTTCTTCTACAGTGTATATTCTGGGTGGCATTCCATAATTCACCAAATAAAGTTGGGGTTTGCGAGTTTGGATCCAGGGAGATCCAGACTTTGAACTCAGGCTCCTTTGGGTATTAGCTCTCTGATCTTAGACATGGGACCATACACTGCAGTTTCCCCAACCCATAAAAAATGCAGCCATTCTACCTACCTTGCAAGGCTCTTGTGAGATAATATTCGTAAAAAGGCAAGCCTAGGTGTTGGAAGAAAAGGAGGGTGATGGCCGGTCAAACCTACATCTATGCTGCCTTCCATATATCATGTCAAGTGGGAACATTCCAGGGGAGGACTTTTTAAATGTCTTTGAAATTAAAAAAAAAAAAGACTAAATCTTAAAAAAAAAAAAAGTTGTATTGACTAACAAAGTGCTTAGCTGTCAGCAAATTGTTACAAAGAAGATATTTGTTCTTTTGCCTATTAGGTCTCCCCATCCTAAACATCAAAGTAGCAGAATTTTCTAAGAACAACAATTGAAGTATATACAACACATACCAATAGCCAGAAAAATATTTTGCTGAATTTATGTTGCCACCAAAAGACCTTGAAATTTGGCTCCAATGATTAAATGTTTGTGTGTGCTTATAGCATCATTCAGTTTATCTACAGTCATTGATTTAAGGCAACTTTATATGATACAATATGGTTTTAATTTGTGCAAAATCAAAATAAGATTACTTATCCTTGAAGCAATTGCAGTTTATGACATTTGGTTATTCAGGGTGAAATAGAAAACAACCAAGATGTCCAAAAACATTGCCTGGGGGAAAAGGTTAAGATAACAGAAGGAAGTCATAACCAACTACAGTACTAATTTTATCTAGATTATTATAGAAAAATATATATAGAAAAATACTACAGTATTTTTCATGAGGGTAGCACACTTTGGGTTCATGTCAGAACATTCCACAAAAGTAGTATGTCACATGTAATGAGCTGTGCTGTTGGGTACAGAGATGATGCCACACTGGCTTTCCTTAGAGTCTTTGGTCATAAGCAGTGATAAACTGGGTGTTGATTCAGGGCTACCTTCTCTTCGTCACCCTGTGATCAGTGGCACACATTTCTGAGATCGTCCTCCAGAATCAAAGTGGCCTTGAAGCAAAGGTAAGATTGGCCCTTAACTGTGTTGAACCATGGAACAAAGCAGGCAGCCCCACTGGTATCCTGGTATGTTCGTTTGTTTTTATGTTCCATGCAGCTTGGCTGTCCTTGACCTTTTAGCAAGCCAAAATACCCCAAAGCTGGTGACTTATTAGGTAGGTTCAGTGTAGAATTTGTGGGAAGGAGGTTTGGTTGGAAAAGCCTCACAGGTAATTTGGATGCACCATCCCCTTTCCCACTGCTACCAAGCTGAAGGGGGTGGGGACATGTTCTCCTCAACTGGGCAATCTTCCACCAATCTCCTTTGCTGCAAAGATGCATGGAGGTGAGAAGTTGGCCTGGCCTGGGCAGCACTGAACTCACCTCTTAGGGCTCTGACATTTGCACTATGAGATCCAGAGAGGGAAAGGTAGCAAATCTTTTAGGACAACAATGCTGGGGAACTAGGGTTTAATCCAAATGAGACTTAAACAGTCTGAGCGTTTGGAACAAATCTCTTGATTTTTCTGTGCCTCCCCCCCTCCCATTTATATTTCAGACATCATGATAATGGTTATACAATCTGCTGTCCTCAGGACTGCTCCAGGGATTTATTAATTTATCCAAGTGATACTTGGCAAGTTGTTATAGATGCTTACAATAAAGGTGCTATCATAATTCTGATTAATTGCTTAGGGTTGATATACTCATATAACTTGTCATTGACAGTAAGTCCCAGAAAGGTGTATTTCTTATTTCCACAGCCTATCCTAAATTTCATCTTAAAACTACTAGTCAGGGGCGCCTGGGTGGCTCAGTCGTTGGGCGTCTGCCTTCGGCTCGGGTCATGGTCCCGGGGTCCTGGGATCGAGCCCCATGTCGGGCTTCCTGCTGGGTGGGAAGCCTGCTTCTCCCTCTCCCACTCCCCCTGCCTGTGTTCCCTCTCTCGCTGTGTCTCTCTCTGTCAAATAAATAAATAAAATCTTTAAAAAACAAAACAAAACAAAACAAAAAACTACTAGTCATACTTGCCATTTACTATATCACTACTGTGTAATTATTATATAGATATTCATAAGCCAGATTGTTTAAGGTTAACTCACATTTTTGTGTTAGTTAATGTCCTGCCCTTTGTATATGTTTTATGAATGAATATTTAAAGCAGAAAGAGACAAATACTCTTATGTGAAAGTGCAAATTCTGTAGTCATACTCCCTGGTTTGAATCTTGGCTCTACTACATATTAGCTGTGTGACTTTAGACAAGCTACTTAACCTCTCTGGGCTTCAGTTTCCTCATCTACAAAATGAGAATATATATATTAGGATCTATTTACTAGGTTATTATGAAATAAAATAAGAGAGGGACGCCTGGGTGGCTCAGTCAGTTAAGTGTCTGCCTTCGGCTCATGTCATGATCTCAGGGTCCTTGGATCGAGCCCCCTATCAGGCTCTCTGCTCAGTGGGGAGTCTGCTTCTCCCTCTCCCCCCACCACTCTCCCTCTCTCTCTCAAATAAATAAGTAAAATCTTAAAAAAAAAATAAGAAAATATGTAAAATGTTCAAAATAGTGGCTGGCATTTAATAAGCACTCAGTAAAAATTAGCTGTTATTATTAGTATTAGTGATATGATTCTTTGTTTAAATAACTGATGGATTTAAAAAAAACTATTTGCAACATTATACTAAAGAGAGTTCCCCCATTTTCATTTTCCCTTTTGGTGATGCTCGGGGAAGAAATATCCTTTCTCTTTCTCCTGTCATCTGCCCAGATACAAGAAATAGATGGTTTAAACAAGGACTATCTCATAATAATATGAAATAAATAAAAAAGGCTTCTGGGTATTTTTTTAAGATTTTATGTATTTAGAGGGAGAGCACAAGCAGGGGGAGCAGTGGGCAGAGGGAGAAGCAGGCTCCCCACTGAGCAAAAAGCCCAACGTGGGGCTTGATCCCAGGACCCTGGGATCATGACCTGAGCCAAAGGCAGACGCTTAAACGACTGAGCCACCCAGGCGCCTCAGCTTCTGCATATTTCTTATACCTCCTGTTGATTTTTACTGTGGTTACTGTGAAAGGTGTGGGCTTAAAAAAAAAAGTAGCTCTAGCAGTGAAATAATGTTGCTGTAAAATCTCAATAAAGCAAGTGTAAATAATTCTAACTACTTTTTCGTAACTGTGCCCCTCAAAGCAGTTTCTTCTGTAATTTAATATGGTCTTTCAACCTCAACCTGACTTTTTACTTAGCAACAGATGATACATGCTTTCTCAAAGGGAACTGTAGGTTAACAGAACCAACAATGTTCATTTTTTAATCTGTTTTTTTCTTTTGTTTCCATATATTCTGTTACTAGTTTGTAGTTTATACTCAGGGTTTTTTTTTTTTATTGCTTTAACAAGCTGATAATAATGACCAGCAAACTCAAGGAATCAAGTAATTTCCTTCTAATTCTATTTAACCACTTGTTGATTTAAAGTAAAACCAGTTCTTACTGAGCAGGTTCCAAAAAGAATATATTTCTGTTTTAAAGATTTCTAAGATCAGCAATAACAAAAAGCCTAATCAAGTACAAGCCTGTGCCTTCATGGAAATGAACATGAAAAACTGAATTGTGATAACTGTATTTAGACATCTGGTGATTGGGGAAGGAAAGAATCTTATATTTATTGAGATGCATTCTCCTTCAGTTGGTAAATCTATAGAAATGACCATCTTCCTAGCCTAGCACTCTGTCTAGTGTTGCTGTTTTTATTATTAACACCAGGTTATATATATATATATATCCCTTTCCTAAGAACTGTGAACATTAATTATAATTTTTCTTTGTTAAGTGAATTTTTCAAAATGTTTCAAGGGCGTAATGATCTAGACTTTTTGATGCAGTGACCGAGGTTTTTTAAACTTCTGAGAAGTAAGAACATGCAGCCCACATTACTTGCTGATCAATTTGTGGGGGAGGGTGCAGAGCAAGAAAGTAGAGGAGGCAAAATACATTTATCAGTTTTTCAACGTGGTCACTGAGGAAAGAACCCAAAATGAATGGCTCAGATGTAAGGAAATGAAGAAGGAAGGAGAAATAACTGGAAGTAATAGAACTGAATGAAACTTCCCAATATGAGGACTCTTTCATGAGAAGTTTTTTTAAGGTAACTTTTCATTTAGAAAAAAGAACCACATATTGGATGCTGCAGACCAAATGCACGCTCGGTTCCCTCTAGCATTGACTTAACATGTCTGTTTTCGATCAGTTCTGTTTGTGCCTGAGACAGAGGCTAGGGCCGAACTGTTTGCAAACAGCAGTCGGAGCTGCTGCTGGCTGCAGCAGGCACGCTGTGGGCAAAGGTGCCAGTGGTTCAGAGATCAGGGCCAGAGGACAGACTTGGATTAAGGTCTGGGCTAGATTACTTATGTAAGCTACAAAACCATGTAAGTGAAAAATGAATCTCACCTGACTGTGTTGATCATTACTCTGAGGCATGATACTAGTTTGTTGACAGTAACCGTCAGGAGAGCTCCGCAGTCAGTCCCTTAATCCAGAAGCCATTGAGAGCTTGGTCAGCAGTTCTGACCATCTGTCTGTAAATAACTCCACAGACACGTGGAGCAATTCCATCAGAAAATAAGAGCAGCAATCATTAGGGAGTAAGAAAGTATGGACTCAGGGAGCAGAAAATAATGTAGGAGGAAGAAGAAAACATTACATTTAAGAATGTCTTTACAACAATGCACATTTCTTTGTGTAATAATCTCTATTCACTACTCACACTGTATTTTCCTTTGTCCTTCTGTGTGATAGCATTATAATTTGGAAGCCCGTCTCTTGGAATAGGCAATAAGAACCAAATGGAGATGTGGGTTCTTATTCCTAATCTGCATGGTTCTCATTTTCCCCCAAAATCCTCATGTACACATTGACCCCCCCAAAAGTGGATTTTTTACTTGGTCGGATACTGCTAAGAAATGCATGAAGGCTGTGTTCTTTAACATAACACCTCAAATCATACTTTATGATTCTAAGTGAATCTATCTGGTGGTTTGTGGATACTAACAGGAAGACTAAAAAAACATATTTAAATAAAGCATTTTCACATATGAAAGGCTATTTTTATTTTTACACTTAAAAGCTCTTTAGCGAGCATTTAAAAATATTAAATGAAGAACTTTTTAGGAAGGACAGAAACCTAGCAGAAAAATGCCTTTGTGGTCTGGGTAATCTGTGCTGGAAGGCTCTGTAGTAATAAGTATTATTTTGTTGCATTTACATCATTATTGGTCTTAAAACAACAGAAGCCAGTTTAGATAAATTTAAAGCTACAACAAATATTGAAACAATTTATTTCATCAAAATTAGGCACTCTGTTTTACAGCAAGTTGAGGGATCACAGAATGATTCTTATTGTTAATGTGTGAAATTTTGAAGTAATTCACACTTCATAGTAAGAATAAAGGCAAAAATAAGAATATTTTTCTATTAAAGCAGAATTTTAAAAAAGCATAGTTTTAACCAAAATTTTAAAACTTAATTCCATTCTTGTTTTCTCCACTAAGTAAAATTTCTACCCTGGAAGCAAATATATTAGTGCTAAGTATGTATGTGAAGGCTTTCATTTCACAAAATGAAATTGTGGGCTTCCTATTAGTGGTGACAGAGGAACCAACCTATCAGGAAATGAGTTCATATACTTCCAGGAAAGATGAATGAAGTGACCACTCTTGCCATTTCCTCCATCTTGTTCATGGTTTTTTCCTCACTTCACTCAGGTCTCTGCCTAAAATGTCTTCTTCAGAGACAGCTCTTCCCTGACCCCACATCCAGCCTTAGTGTTCATCATATTGCATAACTCAGCCTAACTTATATTTCCTTGTGTGTTGTCTGTCATTTCCATTAAAATGTAGACTTTATATGAGCAGTAATTTGGTTCAGTTTCATATCCCCATCATCTGAGATGGGTGTTCAATAAATATTTGTTGAATGACTAAGGCATAAACAAATAAACAAAGGAAAGCATGAAGTAACGGCCAGCAGTGTAGGGGGCTTTCAGGCATTTGCCTGTGGCTGGGGCAGGAGGAAGTGGAGTAGCTGCAGACCGTTGTCCAAGGTGCTGCCCTGAGGTTTACTCAAAGAACAGGGTAAAAAGAGGGAGTATTGGCTGGCATCCATGTCACTTGTACTCAGCACACCCCCTCAGGTTTGTGAACTTCTATCCCTAACTCTGAAGCAGTGCTAGGGAGCCTCGGTTACTCTTTTCTCCATCTGATTTCCTTGTATTTAAAGGGTAGGACTGTGAACATAGAATTTGAAAGGTGGCCTAGTTGACATCTATGCAAATAAGAACTTTGTAGCAGAGGTGCCAAAATTTGAGCAGATAGGTTAAAGCTGAGCCTGGAACACATCTTCTGAAGGCATGCAGCAGGGGAGATAAGAATATCTAGTGGATGCACGGCAAAATGGGGGCAGACAAGAATAAGGTCCCATCCAAGCGTGAGGTCCTCTTTGTGACTGTGTGAGCTGCTAGGGCACTAGTTGCATTTGCATTCCCTCCCCCAAAGGAGGAGCATCAGAGGAAGGCTGATCCTCCAGAAGTGATTTGCTGCTCCAATTTAGGAAGAGTGAGAAACCTATGGCCTAGTCATGGAACTTTAGCTTGCCAGGGATACCCCTCCTCCCAGCCCCCCAACACTGGAAGTTAGAGGCTCTTAATCATAAAAGTGATGTAGACACTGAACTCTTGATAAGGACCATGTCAAGTGATCCAGTGGGAAAAGCTAATTCTGCTAAGTCAAGAAAGTGGCACAAGGCTTCCACTAAAGGAAGGAAAACAGAAGTGAGTAGTGATCTTCCTTCTTTATAGCAACATGGTTTGATTCTCTTTGGTGAAGTCCCTTTGGTGAACTTTCCTTTGGTGAAGTTTCATTTTGAAGTGATTACTACTTAGATGCTCTAACTTTTCAGCTTGATAAAGCTATGAACATGCTAGCATTCTTTTCCATTGCACCCCACCCCATGGTAGAATGTGAGGGTCATAAAGCAAATAGATGGGCCTTTGGGATCTTCTTACTGGAGAGGTCCACATCTGAAATGCCTTCATTTACATTATAAATTTTAGGCAAAATTATGTCATATTTAAATATATATGTGTATTTATTTAAACATATATATGTGTTTAAATATATATAGAGAGAGAGACACAAGAGACAGAGATACAGAGACAGAGTACACATGTGAGCACACTAAATCATGTTAAGGTGTTCAATGGCAGTAATTTTTTGTCTAACAGAAGACATAAAGTGGATAAAACCCCTGCAATCCTCATTTTAACCTTACATCTCTTGCATGAACATTGGTCATAACATTGCATGTATTTCTTGATGAACATTGGTCATCCTTCCCTTTTCCTCATAGCTGTGCAGTTTGGATTTCTAGTTCTTGAAAATGACAGTTCTTGCAAATAAAAGTTCTAATCGGTGTATTTATTAAAGGGGCATCCTAGCAAAGTGATACTTACAAATGAATTAATTTGAACAGTTTTTTTAAAAATATCTAACTTAATAGAATTTCCTTTGCCTTCAAGTTCATAAAGCCTTTAAACATGCAAATATTTAAATGCTGAAAATATAAAGAAAATATTTAATTAAAATATATATTCCCAATCAGCTCTTATGGTAGAGTTGATTTTTTATTATAATATGTATCTAAAAAAACCCTTACAAAGCCTGTGAGTAGATCAGCAGGTGCTAATGTTAAGACCTATAACGATGGCTGTCAGTGTGCTTTTTATTTGTTTGTCTGTATATATTATAGAGATATATATAATTGCAGAAAGATTTGTCAAAAGAGGAAAACCACCTATAATCACCCACTCCAGTATCATTTAAGCTTTGAAGTCTTCATGTTCAAATTTTCTTTAAAATAAATATGGCTTCAAATTAATATTTTTCTTTTTTGATGCATAACTGAAAATAAGTATTTTATACTATATGATTTGTCACCCAAACCATGTATAATGATTTAAAAATAAATGAAAATGTCCATACACAACAAAAATTCAAATCCTGGGTGCTTGGGTGGCTCAGTCAGTTGAGCAACTGCCTTTGGCTCAGGTCATGATTCTGGGGTCCTGGGATTGAGTCGCGCATTGGCTCCCTGCTCAGTGGGGAGTCTGCTTCTCCCCTGCCTCTGCCTCTCCCTCTGCTCGTGCTCTCTCTCTCAAATAGATAAATAAAATCTTTCAAAAAAAATCAAATCCTAAATTTTATAATACTATTCATGTAATAAACCCAAAATTTAATGGCCCACATATTTCTAATTTATCATCGGTAAATACTTGAACTGAACCTAACCATAAACTGAAAACTAACATCATTAATTTGTCAAATAGATTCAAAGAGAACACAAAATTTTTTTTACTGAAAATGACCCAACCAGGAAAAGCACTATGTGAAATAATGAACCATTTCAGAACATATAAATATTATAAAATTACTCAATTTTGTCTCTTCATCTTTATGTCTTCATTGACCAACACAGTGCCTGGCATCTGTCAGTGCTCAGTAAGCCCTAAAAAAAATGAATGAGTATCAGAATATTCTCTTTGGGGTTCTATACTTTACATAAACATTACTAAGAAGCAAGTAGAAATGCCAACATGTTGATTACAGTGCTACGTAGCAGTATAATTATAACATACTTTTCCAAAAACATTTTGAGGCATTGCTTTGCAAATTTATACCTAAGTTTAAGGACAAGTGTAGGAGAAATGGGGTACTGGGAGATTTCACCTTCAAAAACTCTAGAAATCAAGTTATGTAGATCATAAAATAATAGGATTAGAATTTTAAAAATAATGCTTTGACTTTAAAACTTTATTTTTGGAAGGAAAGAAAATTTGCTGTTGCTGGCTTTGATTATACCTCTTTTTTTTATGTTTGTGATTGATATGAGTATCTATCATTTTCAAATACAAAAATTTAGTGTTCTGTTATCCAGCCTGTGCAGTAGACATCACTGTAAGCTCAAACATGGAAATAAACAGGAGCTCAGCAAAATCCTAAAGTAATAATAATTTAAGCAATAACGGGGTGCCTGAGTGGCTCAGTCATTAAGCGTCTGCCTTCAGCTCAGGTCATGATCCCAGGGTCCTGGGATCAAGCCCTGTATCAGGCTCCCTACTCAGTGGGGAGCCTGCTTCTCCCCCTCCCTCTCCCTCTGCGGCTGCCCCCTGCTTGTGCTCTCCCACACTCTCTATCAAATAAATAAAATCTTAAAAATATATATATAATTTAAGCAATAAGAAGTTTAAATGTAGGAAGGGCTGAAAAAATTATGTTTTTGATTATGCTTCTAATGCTACATTAATTTGTTCACACTGAAACTTTGTCTAACAAAATTGATTGTCCATCACATGGCATTTGGAATACAGAAGATTCACAGTAGAAAAGTAAGATGATTCACATCTAGTACGGTTCTGTGGCCTGTGCTTTTTAGAGAAAGATTAGAAATGGCTCCAGTATACTAAATAAACTTCACAAATGAACAAGAAAATTTTATCTTCAATTTTTTTTCAGAGCTTTTCACCTTAGGACCAATATGTTCCCCTCATGGATGAAATAAATCAGCACTGTTTACTTCAGCTTGATGGCACCTTGTTGTCACATGGCTAAAGAAACTAGGTACTTGGAAGCCAGTAGTTAGCTTAACTTTGCTCTATATACGTACATAAATTTTAACTTTATAACTTCTCTGTAGTTCCAAATTCTACATCTGAAAGGGGACATCAGTTTTATCAAATTACAAGTAACATGTTTGAGTTCTAGGTCTTGTCTTTTTGGTCAGCAGAGACACTCCTCATTTCATTTGATGTGCACACCCAAGGTGGGAATTGAAAAAAAAAATTACCAACTAGTCAGAGAGCTCAAATGAGTACAGATTTAGAGCAAAGTCTGACTCAAGTTTTCAATTTTTAATTTTAGCTTGTATCTCGGATAGTTTGGGGGGGCACTGTACTCAATCTACAATTGTCAGAAGCATTGTTAGAGTTTAATGCATATTAATTTAAAAATGTACATTTTTAGGGGCACATGGGTGGCTCAGTCGGTTGGGTGTCTGCCTTCAGCTCAGGTCATGATCCCAGCGTCCCGGCATTGGGCTCTGTGCTCAGCGGGGAGCCTGCTTCTCTCTCTCCCTCTGCCTGCCTGCCTGCCTGTCTGCCTACTTATGATCTCCGTCAAATAAATAAATAAAATCTTAAAAAAAAAAAAAAAAAAATAAAAGTGTATATTTTTAGTGTTCATAATAAATGCAGGTATCTTTTAAATGTTAGATAGTTTTTCATAGGAAAACATAAACATACCCATTAGTTTGTTTGTGTGGTGTTGACAAGTGGTAGAGAGTGCACTCCTTCAAATGAGTTTAAGTGAAAAGAATTTAATGAAGGGACTGCACTGACTTCTGGCAGGGTTTAAGGTAACCACAAGGAACAATGAGGTACCCAGGGGCGATAAACAGCAGGAAACTATTAACACTGAGGCTGGAAGGGGAAAAGGAAGGACACAGTGTTAACCAGACAGAGCCCAGTGAGGGCTGAAGCTATGAAAGAGACAAGGCTTGAAATGAGCTGTGACCATATACCTAAATTCACTGTCTTCCCACCCTTCAGGCTCCTGCTGTTGCCTCCCACTGGCTGAGCCCAACCTGAAGCCAGAGGGCACAGGAGCCTGGAAGAGGCAGGGCTGAGGTTCAGACCCCCAGGACATAGGGCAGGGAAAGGCAGAGAATGGATCTAGGTGGGGGCAGGAAGAGGGGGACAAACAGAGAATAACAAAGCGGTGACCTGATTTATATGAAATAATTTGTGCAGGAGGAGAATGTTTTCAGAGTTCTGGTTTAGATCAGATCCAAAGTCTTAGCAAATATTAAAGATGGGCAACAAATTTTAAGTTGCTTTTTAAAAAAATTTTAATAAGAAATTATGGTTATGTACAAATCAATATTAGTTGTAAAGTAAATGCTAAGTATTGGAATAGATGTCCAAATCTCTTGACAAGAAAAATTGGAAACGGGAAATATTTTTATTCAATGATTATGATAAAAGCATACTTTATTTCATTTTTATTTTATTAATTTTAATTACAGTTTAGTTAACATATAGTGTTATTTTAGTTTCAAGTGTACAATATAGTGATTCAACAATTCTATAATAAAAGCATACTTTAAATTGCTCTTAATTCAATCAGATTTAAATACATGTCACTTGAGAGGAACTGTTGTTGGCTGAGTAGTATTCCATTGTGTATCTATACCACATCTTCTTTATCCATTCATTTGTACTACTCGGCCATCAAAAAAAATGAGATCTTGCCATTTGCAACGACGTGGATGGAACTAGAGGATATTATGCTAAGTGAAATAAGTCAATCAGAGAAAGACAATTATCATATGATCTCACTCATAGGCGGAATTTAAGAAACAAAACAGAGGATCATAGGGGAAGAGAGGAAAAAATAAAACAAGAAGAAATCAGAGAGGGAGACAAACCATAAGTGACTCTTGATCATAGGAAACAAACTGAGGGTTGCTGGAGGGGAGAGGGATGGGAGATGGGGTAACTGAGGGATGGACATTAAGGAGGGCACGTGATGGAATGAGCACTGGGTGTTATATAAGACTGATGAATCACTCACCTCTACCTCTGAAACCAGTAATGCATTATATGTTAATTAATTGAATTCAAATAGAAAAAAAAAAGAGAGGAACTGTTTTCCTCCCAATTACTCTGTTTCTTCAGGACAATGCTTACTCATTACCTTCCTAAATTTATGCCGATTGCTTTGTATGTGTTCCACATAAATCACAAGTAAATTAGGATTTAATGAACTAATTTTAAACTGGGATTTTTTTCTTTGTTCAGAAATTTCCTGGGGAAAAAAAGCGTAAGAACACTAAAATATCGTATGAGCACAAGGAATGAACAAGAAGCCATTCCCTTTTGTACTACGGTGGGCACAGGAATACATTTGATGTTCTCTGGATCAGGCTGCAGGAGCTTTCAGGAATGACTTAGGTTCCGCCATGGCTCTAGAAGGGACACCTGTAAATACCTCAGGGTCTTACGGCTGAGC